CTGCAGGGCCGGAGCGGCTCTGCTGGGGTGAGGCTGCGGCAGCAGAGCGGGCCCGGGGATCCCTGGCTGTGCCACCTCTGGGGAGGGGTCTGCAGGTGAGCCCGGGGACGGCACCAGAGCCCACGGCACGGGCTGGAGCCCAGAGGGTCCCTCTGCACCCCAGGCACTCTCAGTGTGGTGGTGGCACAAGCACAGGCTACCCAAGGCAGTGTCCATTGTTGGAGTTACCCAAAAGCAATCTGGACGTGGTCCTGGGCAGTCAGCTCTGGGTGTCCCTGCTGGAGCAGGGGGGCTGCACAAGGTGACCTCCACAGGTCTCTCCCTACATGAACCATACCATGACTTGGGTTCTGCATTAATTTCTGTGGAGAATAGCCTTCTCCAGTTTATGTGTGACATTAACTCTCCACTGCCACTACCCCTGATTCTGCTCCAGCAGTGTTTTCTCTGGAGGGAACCAGGGGCAGTGTTTCCAGAGGTTGGTTTCCTGCTGGGAAGCTGTGTCAGTAGATGTGGCAGGAGTGCACATGTGTGTAAACACATGGGGAGCTGTACCTGGCACTGGAAACAGTGCGTGGTGAACTTTTCGTACGCTGAATCTATTTGGCCCTTCAGCTAATGATACTAATAAAATCCTGTGTCTTCTGGTGATTCAGTGTTGCAAGCATTTTGCAAAGTTTGCAATCCCTGTTACAGATCTGAGAGCTGTAGGGAGCTTTTATTCTGTGATCAGCATCAATCTGGCACTTCTTCCTGTTTGACTCCTTGTTTAATGGCTGTATGCTTCTTTTTATGCCAGTAGCTTCCTAGTTCCTTATTTTCTAGGCCTTGCTCTCCCTAATAAAAAAGCTTTTGTCATCACTGTGTGCAGAGAAAGCAAACAGTGTAACATCGTGGGTTTGTGCAGTCTTGTACCCTTTTGCAGGAGTGAAAGTGTCTGGGGCATGGGAATGCAGGGGACTCCTTTATAGCTGCAGAGGTGGCCTTGGCTTTATTTGATAATTTTTGGGTCCCTGGTGGTAGAGCAGTTAATTGTCCCATTGCTGGGCTGCACAGTGAGCCTGGGGCAGTCTCAGAGGTCAGTTGTTGGTTTTCCTCACTGACACCTGGTTTCCCCTCTGGCCGGGGCACCGAGTCCTTGGCTGAGGAGTGGAGTCCTGTTCTGCTTTGCAGCGTGCTCACATGCGTGAGCCTGAGCAGCTCAGTGGCTGCTGCAGGAGGAGAGGCAGAGCTGTGGCACAAGGCCATGGGGAGGACTGTGGGACAGGAGACCTTTCCTGCCCACAAGGAGGAAGTTCTCAATGCAGAATACAGGTGGGTGTGAGATGGACACTGCACAAGAGGGACATGTCCTCTGCAGCGTGACGTGTTCCAGAGCAGGGGGCTGCCTGCCCAGGCAGCTCTGCTAAACGTGCTGTAGGGACAGCTAGGAAGGAATGCCACCCTTAAGAGCCAGTGGGCACACAGGCTGTCCACTTACTCTGCCCAGCACTTTTTGCATGTTCTTGAGGGTTTGAGAAGTCTGACCAGCTACAGCATGCTCCTGTAGGAATGCTGATTCCCTTTTTATGCTTTTGTTGTCAGATTGAGTTCAGCTTGTCAAAGATGGGTTGCTTGTCCTACCCTCTGCTGTGCTTCACATCTCTTCCTATCACCTGCCCTGCTCAGACACCGTATTTGGCTGAGCCTTTTTCTAAAAATCGTCTCTGCTAATTGCCCATAACTTGTCAATCCCATGGGGCTGTGTTTTGTAATCTGCCCCTTTGTAGTCACCTTCTTGTGACTGAGAAAGACACATCCATTGTTATTGTTGGTGATGTGACTTTATTTTGTGGTCTTCATAATTTGTCCCACTTAATAGCCATCCTCAGCCTTCACCTATCCAATCATTAACAGTGTGGAGCCAGTTTGAGAATATAGAAATAGGTGTATAACTGGCAGATAGCAGCCATGTAAGTCAGGCAGGAGAGCATGTCGGAAGTAACTTCAGTGTGTTCTTACCATGTACAGTCAGGAGGCTGGGTTAAAATGTAGGGTCAGGTGAAGCTCTCAAGCCCCTATCACTGCTAAGTTTGCCCATGCATCAAGATGACCTTGACCAACAGTGACCAGACCAAACCCAAAGTTTCTTGTCTTATCTAAAATCCTGTCACAGCTGTAACTGTGCACTTCTGCCTGCTGTGTTGAGCACACCTGCAGGAAGTTTTTGAGAGCTGACCCCAGAAGCATGTTGTGCTGTCAGTGATTCATAGAGCAGGACTGTGTCTGGCAGGGCTGTCCCTGCTTAGCTGTAAGAAACATAGGAGATTCTGGGGGTCTGATGGCATTGACTCTGTGCTGCCTCAGCTCTGAAATAGCAGAGTGAGGTGATGCTGCTCAAGCTGCACGTGAGCTGGGATATAAATGGCTGGAACAGGCAGATTCCCTGCCAAGTGTGGCTGATCAAACCCAGCTGCAGAGCCAATCTCTGCAACAGTGATGGAAAAACACTCCGGTGGGACTCAGCAAGCTAGGAAGAACAAGGAGCAGAGTACCAGAGGGAACAGGTCCCTGGCTGACCCACAGCAGCTCATTCAGAGCTGCCTGTGTGTCAGTTCTGTGTATCTGAGTTGGAGGCTGCCACAGACATTGCAAGCCCAGTTCTTACCGGAAATGCTGGTGCTGCTGCAGAAGGTCTGTAGGACCTGGATGCAGAGGAGCTGATTATCAAGGCTGGCTGGACCTCATTAAGGACACTATAGGTGGAGGCTGGGGTAGATTTCCACTCTACCTGCCTGTCTGGTATGGAAGTGCGTCAGCTACCACTGCTGAGGTTTCTGTTGATAGTATGTTCTGTGATTGATTGATTGATTGATTGATTGATTGATTGATTGATTACTGCCTCATCCCTGTCCTTAGATGGGCTCAGGAGCCAAGAACAGAGTGCCTGAATAGTGAACTGGCCCTTGCCATCCAACATGTGGTCATAACAGGATTTGAAGACATTGGAAAATGAAGCTGATCATGACATTATGTGGGGAGTGACTTTCCTTGGCTGATTCTGCTCCATATTTGGTGGGACCAGGTTGTTGAGTTTTTGGTCCCTGTTTCTTCTTACAGCACATTGTACTGATAAGAAAGGCAGAACGAATAGAAGAATTAAAAAATAAGTTGTTTTCTCTCCCCAGATTGTCTAGTTTGCCACTGGGGGTCCCTTTGACATGCCTGAAGTAGCTGCAGGTTTAACAGGTATCACAAACATATGATAGTTCCTGTACACTGCATTGGGCACAGAGACATCCAAGATCCCATAAACAAGAATATGATTAATCCGATGTTGGAATAGAAGGGTTTCTGAAGCCTTAAATACTGTCTTTAGAAGGCCTGGTATAAGAACCCAGTGTGCTGGACAAGGTGCTTTATGTGCCAAGTCTGGCACTGGATGGATGTGTGGTGACAGGGTTGGGGCTGAGAGGTTGGCTCCAGCAGCACAGGAACACATCCAGTCCAGTGCAGAGGAGCGGGCAAACTCCAGTTGTAACTGACTCAGGAGTACAAAATACAAAGGTGAATAAAGTCCAGAGCTCATCATTTGGGTGCTGATGAGGCTCAGGCATTTGCTGCCTCCTCAAGGGAGTCTTCGAGCTGCTTGTCATGTGGGGGGTGTTGAGATGCTTTGGGGCAGAATCCCCAGTAGAGAAGACTGGTGTGATGGTGCACAGTCCTGGCCAGAATTCGTCTAAAGCAGTCAGTGTCACTGGGAAAACAGAACAGGTCTTAGGAGAAAGACAAAGGACGTAGCTTATGCTGCTTGGTGATGTGAAGGTGAGAGGATCTGGTGATGTTTGGGAACAGGTGAACACTAGGAATGAAGTCATCTTGCTGGACTCCTAGGATTAGAGCTAACACAGGGAACAGAAAGCAGTTACTTGTGAATGGTTGGTTGGTAAAGAAGCCCCGAGCTATTGGAGCAAGCTCTGCTTCCAGCACTTGGACTGGGAAATATGATTTGGTATGTGCCATGCAGCAAGGCTGAGCTGAGTTACCAAAGGAGGTCCTTTTTGTCTGACTAGAGCCCAAAGAATATCTCCTCTCTGAAACTGGTAACTAGTCACTCAGCTGGGAATCTTCTTCAGTATGGAAAAATACAAGTGGTTTGGCACATCCTGTGTCAGCCCACATTGTGCCAGTACAGATGAGGACCAACTGTGATTGTCCAGGAGGGTGACCAGGTGGGACATGGGCCTGAGACTCTGGGACTGGGCACATTCCAGTGTGAAAGCAGAGTTTCGAATGGGTAGTGGCTCTGTGCTCCCCGCCCACGTCAGTGTTTCTCGCTGGCAGAGACAGCTGCTCAGAGAGTTGTTTGCACCTCTGCAGAGGTGGCTGTCCCAAAGGCTTATCTTTCATGGGGGTCCGTACTTGTGCTCTGCTCACTGTTCATGTGGCTGTGAGTTACTTCCTCCCCACAGCTCTGAGTGGTTTGTGGAGGTGCTTACTGCTGGGAGGTTCTGCTGTCTGGGTGGTCACCTCCCTTCCTTCAGCAGCTTGGTTTAATTCTTGTCTGGAGACGCTTTGGCACCAGCATCCTCCTGAAAGGTGGAGAGTTGCCTGGTAGGTCCATCCTCCCAGACCTCCAAGGTGGTGACCGATTGCAGTGACCTTGGCATCTCTGGCTGTTCCTCAGGCTGCTGTTCTGAATCAGTTGCTAGTGACAAATGCTATAGATCTGATTGAAGTTGGGCATTTCTCCTGGGAGTTATTCCCACCTTGTCTTCCAGTAGGCAGCAGTTGTGGTCGCCAGGTTTGCCCTTGGAGAGTGATGCTAAGCAGCCAAGGAAACAGTGCAGGAATGTATTGGGTCGGGGCAGGTGACAAGAGATGAAGGCTGTGAAGAATCACTTTAATGCCACCATTCTGCCCCTTTCGGCACCAAGGGCCTGGAGTTGCAGGTGTTCCTGGGCTTTCGTCAGGGATGGGCTATGGTTTCTGTATCCTAAGCATTCCTGGCTTTCTTCTAGTGGCACCGGACACAATTAACAACCATGTGAAGACTTGTCGTGAGGAGCAGAAGAACCTGCACTTCTTTGCCCCGGAATATGGAGGTACAGTGTGGCTGTGGCTGCAAGCCTGGGGTTTTTTTGGCCTTACTGACGCTTCCAAGCTGTCTTGTACCTTGTTCTTAGTTCCAGGCTCCTGACAGATGCCACATTAACAGTTCTGAGCCATTTGCCTGCTGAAATGCTTCAGCTCCTCTGTTCTTTGGTAGCAGAGGAGGGAGAAGCTGCAGGACTGTCCCAGCCTGGTGCAGAGTGGTGCTGCTGCATGTAGAGCTGACTGACAACAATGCTATTTCTGTGTTACAGAAGTTGCCAATGTCACCACTGCTGTGGACATCTACTCCTTTGGGATGTGTGCACTGGAGGTAAGTGTCAAACATGGACTGTGGGACAGAGATGATGAACCTGAGGAAAGAGAGAGCTCTGGAAAGGCTGTGGCCATGGGTGGGTTTCCTCGGTGACAAGTGTGTTTTGTTCTCAGAGCCAAGTGCACTTTTCTTATGGAGGCTCCCCCAAGTGCCTCACTAAGAAGTAAATGGCTCAGGGATTTGGGGAACTTGCAGTTCTCCCCAAAATTTGTAATGGTTAATGAATTACTTAGTGGGTCTTGGCCAGTCCTGAAGTCAGACTCACTGGCTGGAGGGAATAGTCACTGCTGCAAACTGTTACGTAATGTCCATGTGTGTGACCAGTGCCTGGTGTGTTTGGAGCAGAGGACAGCTGTAGTCTATCACTTTTTCTGGGCCAGCCTGTGCCCATCTGATACAGGTGCTGGTTGCAGTCGATGTGAGTCTGACATACCTGGTCATAGCAGCTTTGTGCTTCCTCTGTCCTTGCAGTCAGTAGGTCCAGGTAATGGCAGTTGTTGTTAGGAGTATTTTCTGAGAATTGTCAGAAAGAGCCAACACAACTAACCCTCAACCTGTGCTGCACATTCCATTCGTGAAGCAGGAAGATAACTGTGGAAAGATGCAACTTTTGGGAAACAAAACTTAAGCTGAATGCAGAGACATTCTCTGTAATATTTTCCAGCCTTTCCTGGCTGGGAATTTGTGTCTGTATAGATGGCTGGAGCCTGCTCTTGATGTGTTGTGTGCTTGCTGTTGTTCTGCGATGCAGAGCTATTCACACAGCCAGAAGGGACATTGTCAGATCCTGGCAGTGATCCAGTCACTGCCTCATTATGGAATTATCAAACAGAGGAACGGGCCAATGGATCATGAGGTTCAAAGTGGAGACACTTACTGTCCAGGTTGTTGCTGGCAGAGTTCCCAGGGCTCCCTGGCAGTCTTGGGGTGCTAGGAGCAAGCTGTTGTAATGAGGCAGCCATTCTTTCTGTCTCTCCAAATGTGACCTTAAGTAACCCCAAACAGCTTGGCTGTGGTGATCTCATGCTTGGCAGTGGTCTCCTTGAGCCTGTCTCCCACACAGTGTGCCGTTGCCAGTGCAGTCTGATGCTCTGCTCTGTGTTTGCAGATGGCAGTGCTGGAGATCCAGGGGAACGGGGAGTCGTCCTATGTGCCGCAGGAGGCCATCAACAGTGCCATCCAGCTGCTGGAGGACCCCCTGCAGCGGGTGAGCCAGGGGCGTGGCGTCCTCCATTGCTCCAGTGCCATTGCTTGTTGTCTGATGCAGGTTTTGTCTTTAGGAGTTCATCCAGAAGTGTCTAGAACAGGACCCTGGCAGGCGCCCCACGGCCCGGGAGCTCCTGTTCCACCAGGCGCTGTTTGAGGTGCCATCGCTGAAGCTCCTGGCTGCTCACTGCATCGTTGGGCACCAGCGTGAGTACAGAGCCTTGGGAGCCATGTCCCCACATGGGTCAGGACTCTGCAGAGCTGTCAGTGAGCTGGGAACACTCTCCCCATCCCCTGCTGCTCTGCAGTTCCTGGCTGTCAGATGCAGCTGTGGTTGCTGTGGGGCTGGGAGGGCCATGGTGCCTGACCTGCTCCGAGAGCATCAGAGAGCATAAAACCTCTGCGCTTTTCATTGCTTTTCTAAGGCTAGAGAGAAACTGCAATTGCTCTAAGCTACTCCTTTTTTATTAATAGATATGATTCCTGAAAATGCTTTAGAAGAAATGACCAAAAACCTCGACATGAATGCAGTGTTGGCAGAGATCAATCACGAGGACAGGGAAGGAGTCAAGATGATGTGAGTCCTCATGGTGTGCTCGGGGGGCTGCTCAGGGGAGCAGTGCTGGGGCACTGGTGTGAGCACTGGGACTCTGCCCATCACCTCAGTGTTGGTGTTTCCCCACTGGCTGGGTGCCAGTGGGAGCTGGTGGAGCTGGAGCTGAAGGAGCAGTCACTGTCTGGGCACACACACGTCTGGGGAGGGCTGTACCTGGGTAGAAGGAGACCTTGCACCTGTTTGCTGGGAGCAGATTCTGTGCAGCTGAGATGAATTGTTCCCCAAATGGATGGATGGAATAAACACAGTGTAGTTGCAGCAGTCCCCAGCAAAACATGGCTGAACAGTTTGGGGAGGTGCTCTGACCAGTCACAGACTAGCCAGATGGAATCCAGCACTTCAGAGAAAGGGCTCCTCAGTGTTTTTTTAATGGAGCATCTTATTCCACATTATGCACAGGGAAAGGCAGTTGAGGCAGCTGTCAGTGACAAACAGCACTACTTACACTGGTGGCTCCCTGAGGGAGTGACTGTAACACCTATGGAGCAAGCAGAGTGCCAAAAAAGTGATGTACATTTTGGATAACAAAGCCTTGGCTAGTCAAGGGATTAGCAGAAGACTAAGATGTTGTCCTATCTTAGGGCAAATTTGGAAAACCTCCAAAGGGTCCCCCCCACCCCCCGGAAGCAAACCCAAGCTCCCCTCCCCCAACCAGGTTAGGAAGAAATTTCCTCTGAGAAGTGGAAAAAACCTGTTTATTCAACAGGCAATGCACTGCCCAGCACAAAAAGTGAATGATACCGAACAACAAAACCTCTCAGTGGTCTGAATGGATAACAAATTCAGAAAGTCTCTCTCCTGTGGTGGTAGCTCAGCTCAGTCTGTTCTCTTTTCTCAGTCCCTCTGGTGCTGGAAAATGCTGCAGCCCAGGCCAGGCCCCAGTGGCCGCAGGTGCGAGCTCCTGGTGCTCCCCCGGGCCCCCAGTCCAGAGCAGGCTTAAATAATTCCAGGAAAAAAAAAAAAACTTTCCGGGGAACTTCTCTGCTTCAGTTAGTCAAAAACAAACTAAAAGCAAAGGCGAGCTCTGTCTGCTGGCCAGCACAGTGACACAGTCCAGGAGGACAAGACGATGGAACTCCTGTCTCTGTGTTTTGAAAACAACCCCCTCAGACATTCCACTGCTTCTCCTTCCCCCCCTTCACTCTCAAATCAAACCGTAAAGGTACAAAACTTATTTCTGGGCTGAACAGACGAACGGGGATACAATTCAACATGACAAAGTCACCCCAGGACAGATGTGAATACTGTATTCCCAGAGAAGCCTAGGGTGCTTCCAGGGGAGCCCAGAGTTCTGGGATGCTCAGGCTGTTGGACAAGAGCAACCAAGATGACTCTGTCCATATGAGCCATAGAGACCCTTCCAAAAGCTGACGTTCCAGTTGCCATAGTGCTAGGAAATAGTAGTATGAAATTCCCTTTGGAATGTTTTTGATATGGTTTCAAAATGGAGGAGAACAAGTGAATAGCCAAAGCTGTGCAAGAGAGATCCTTACATACATGGGATATCAGTCTCTGTGGGCTTGGCTGTCTGTGGGTGCCAGCCTGGAACTCACTTTTTGGTAGTGCCATACCTCAGAGGTGCTGGAAAAGAAAGCAGCAATGACTTGAAATGTCAGCATCATTTCTGGGAGGTTTGTCAGACTGCCATGCAAACCAAGCTGCTAGAAAAAAAATGTAAATTTTTGTTGGAAACTACTGCTCTGTTAGAGGATGGGATGATCCCAGCTGCTGGGGGTGTGGGAGGGGCTGGAGAGTGCTCTGGGAGCTGAGGCAGGTATGCCGCCCGTCAGGCTTCCAGCAATTTGGAGTCCTTACCTCCTCTCTGGAATGCTTCAGAGCAGCCTTGAGACAGGGCTTGGCTGTTCCAAGTGTTTGTTGCAGCCAGGGACCTGGTTGGCAGGTGTTTGTGAAACAGCTCACCAGGAACTGTGTCATTGGGCCACCCTCCCAATAACCGCATTGCACAGTTCTGAGGGATGTGAGACTGGCTCTGCCATAACTGTTGCCTCATCCTTAGCTCCTATAGATAGTTATATCCTTAAGGGAAGATAAGAGCTTGTCACACCAGTGGCTGTCTCTGTCCACACCCATCCTGCCTGTGGGTACAGCCCAGGAGATGGGGATTTGAAACTGCACCCTAAGAGACCCAAGTGGATGGTACTGTGAGACGCTTTCTCATCTCAGGACATTTTGTTTTCCAGCTTCTCACAATCTCCAGCACTGGAGCTGGACAAGTTCCTGGAGGATGTGAGGTAAGAGGGATTTTTTAAGGCACCTTCCATTGTGTGTGAGACTCAAAAAATTTTGGAGAGGTATAACCTCAGATGCTGCTCCTTCCTTGTAGGAATGGAATCTATCCCCTCACAGCTTTTGGGATGCCACGACCCCAGCAGCCCCAGCAGGTCGTGGTGAAATCTCCCATTGCTCCCCCGTCAGTGAAAACCCCAACTCCAGAGCCTGCTGAGGTGGAGACCCGCAAGGTAAACTCTGGGGCTCTGCCCTGCACTCCCATCACCAGGCAGGGCTTGGGGCAGCTGCTGATGGGGTCTGTGCCTCTGTTCCAGGTGGTGCTGATGCAGTGCAACATCGAGTCCGTGGAGGAGGGCGTGAAGCACCACGTATGTTTCCAGTCTGGCTGAGCTGGGGGAGGCTGGGGCAGCTGTGCAGGGCTCATGGCTCTGATGTGCTGCTTTGTGTCTGGGGTAACCCTGCACTGCTGCTGCTCCTGGCACCTGGGCCCACCCCCAGGTCCTGGCTTCGAGTGCAGGATGGTGCTGCCAGCTGCATTTCACGATGGAACTGGCTGTGGCTGTTCGGCTAGATCCCTGTGGGAGTCTGGAGGGGTGGTTCCATCCCAGGGGGCATTTCTACGGTTGCTTTGGGCTTGCCACAGAAGCCTGCAGGACTGCAATGCCTCATGAGAATTTCTTTGCCCTGCAGCTGACACTGCTGCTGAAACTGGAAGACAAGTTGAATCGACACTTGAGCTGTGATCTGCAGCCCAGTAAGTACCTTCTCCAGCCCAGTAAGCACCCTTCTGCCCCTGCCGAGGTGCACTGGGGCCAGCAGCACGCTTGGACCAAGGACTGACACCTTTCTTTGTGTTGCAGATGACAACATCCAGGAGCTGGCAGCTGAACTGGTCCAGCTTGGATTCATCAGCGAGGTAAGCAGGGGCTCAGGTAGGGCTATAGGCCTGCGTTCTTTTGTCAGTGTTCAACAGTTTATGCCACATGAGCCCTTTTTAGGGGGAGGAGGCAGGAGGAATAAGCCAGATCCCTGGCCTGGAGGACTCCAGGCATGTTGTCAGCTTTGAGTGGATGGGGCTTACCCCTCACTGTCCTTGTTCTCCCCAGGCTGACCAGAGCAGACTCACCTGTTTACTTGAAGAGGCATTTAGCAAGTTCTACTACACTCGGAATGGAGCCCTGACGGCCGTGACTGTGTCATCTTAGCCCCATGGCTCCTGGGCAGCCAGCATGGCCTCGCTGCCTGCGACCCATCTGTGTCTGCCCACCACCGTCGGGCATCCGCAAGACCCCAGCTGCAGTGCTTGGAAGCTCATCCTGCATGTGCCGTGGCTGGGCTCATCGACAGTCCTCCCTGCCCGCCTCCTAAAGAAGACTTTGCGCATCAGTATTATTTCCAGCCCTGTTTTTGTTGGGATTTGCCAGGTTGTGCTGCGGAGTTGAGGCCTGGCTTGGGGTGTTCTGCAGTCCCACTCATGTGCATGGAGTTTGTTCTGTTTGAATTGTACAAAGTGTCTTTTGCACAGCACAGAAATGGGTTTTTTCTTTCTTTTTTTTTTTT